CCCTCCCTCCCTCCCTCCTTCATCTGCTTGAATTTCTTTCCTCCCCTCCTCAGCCTCTGAGAAACTGGGTGGGTTTTCAGAAGGATGCAGTAAACATTTTCGGATTAAGTTCCGTGTGTGATCCCCTTCCTAGTTAAGGGGGTGCCTGCATTTAGGACTCTACCTATTTCTGTGCCTCTTCCTTTGGATTTTGGGGGTGTAGGGGACCTTCTGAGAAAGCTGCAGTTAGAGATGGGATCCGGAGTCCAGCGGACCTTGAAGCCAGTTCTCAATGTTTTGCACTGCACATGTAGGTGCATCACTTCCCCGTGGCAGACTGAAACTCGCTATCTGCCTCAGCAGTTGCACACCAGCTGGACTTGCACGCCTCTGTTTCCCCAAGGGAAATTGCTGAGAAGTATGGGAAAAGTTGAAAAGCTGGGCTCGGGCTCCCTTCCTTCCTAGAGCCTAGGCTGCATGAAATCGGGTACCCTTTTCCCTCTGCAGATGTTTCTTGGGCCTGCCCCCTGGCCAGCCGGCCAGCCAGGAATGTCGTGGCCCGATGCATCTGGAGCGCAATGGCCGACGAATGCTCGGCTGCAGAGGGGCAACCCTGAAGGGGAGCGTGTGGAGGGTTGCTTAAGCTTCTGCGGCTCCCGCTCCCCTTCTTGTTGTGGGGAGGGCAGCGTGGTGGCGGCCATGGGGCTTGTATCTGACAGATGGCGCGGCGTGGCCTCCCCTCTCCATGCCCTAATCTGCATGCAGGTGGGCGCAACGGTTTCGGCGGGAGGAGGGGTGATGAGTCCCAGGCCTGGAAAAGCCCCCTTTGATCTCCTTCCTTTGTTGTCTGTCTGTCTTTTGAATTTGCCACCCTAGCAGGCTGGGCCTAGCCAAGGATGCTGGGGGGCAGAATCCCCCTCCACACGTTCCAAGATTGGTGGCTATTCTGCAGGCTCTGAATACCATCCAGCAGCAGAAAAGGAGGCCTATTAACTGAGGGGGGCGCATAAGGAGGCCCAGCCTGGGAGAGCTTGAAGCTGCCTTCTTCAAGAGGGGGGGGGCGGAGGAAAAGCCTCTGCTGCGGGAGATCTAGGCGCTGAACCTACAGCCCCAATGGGCAACTATATTTTAGTGGCAGGAGGTGCCTGTTCTCAGTGGAAAGTCCTACATCCCATCGCCGAGGGACAGTTGTTGGGGTCAACCTGGGCTTCCAGAGGCCCTCTAGACCAACCCTCTGCAGGAGGCAAGAATGCACCAAGGAGGAGGATGGGACCTGTGGCCAGAAGGGGGGAAAGAAAGAAAGAAGGGAGATCTTGACGAGGAAGGCCTTCACATGTGGGCCTGATGGGAGTTAGGGTTAGGGTTAACCCTAGTTTTGGCCATGAAGTTTGAAAAACACTGCTCTGAAGGGAAGGGGGGACCCAGGGTTTAACTGTCCTGAAACCGGAGATGCGTTAGCAGCGATGCATTATATTCTAAGCTTGCTCTTCCCATCTGGGAAATTCCAGGTGCATCTTCTTCAGGGATGAGTTAGCTGGGGAGGAGGTGTGGCGGTCCCGTGCTTGCTGCCCCCGGCGTGTGCCAGGCCGTGCAGGCGCTTGTTCTGCGGTGGCTCAGTTTTGTCACTCTGCCTCTCCGGGCCCCTGAGATGGGAATTAGGGAGGGAAGCCCTGGGTCAGCCTGTTTTCCTTGCTGTGTGAACCTGGCACCTTGGGCTACTGGTGGAACCTTCACCCAAGCCCAGTTGGTAGCCCTGTCACTAATCCTGGGGGGCAGTGTGTGCGCCAAGGAGCTTGTGCGCTGCAGAAGATGGGTGGAATGGGTTGCAGGGCAGTGTGGCTTCCCAACACCTTCCTGAACAACGGGGAAATCTCCCAGCCTTACTTTACGTGCAAGGAGAGCTTGTCTTCCCTGCTGCGACCCTCAGCAGGGCCCCATTAGTGGCCCTTTTGTGGCCCCTTGCTTTATTGGTGTCTCTGACCTTCTTGCTGAGAAAGCCTCTGTCTGTTTCCAAGGATTTCTCCCCAAAGCGTTTTTTTTTAACTAGAGCAAGCAGGATTTTGAAGGCGGGATCCAGGGGAAAGGTGCATATTCCCCAGTAAAGCGCCCCACCGCTGCTTCTGTAGAGTCTTGGTCTGGAGAAAAAGTTGTGCGGTGCCTGTGCTGCTCTCGAAGCCTGGCAAAGATGCAGGGAGCCAAGGGCCTTAGAAAACCGAAGGGGCACTTTCTGGGCCCGAGGTGTGCGAGGAGGTTCAGCTGCCAAGCTTTTGCGTCCTTTGTGATTTTTCTGACTCAGCTCAAGTGCTGCTTTTCTGCCCAGCCTTCTGCACCACATCTCAGCGCGTCGAGCCTTGCGGACGCGGATAACGATCTCCAGATGCTGGAGGCCCTGTCAGGGGAGTTCACATCAGGGCCTGGGGTGGCAGGGAAATTTCTCACAGCCGGTTTCAAGCAGACCTTTTGGGAGGGGGCTGGGGGCAAAGGGGAGCCGTTGGTAGAGACGGCACAGTCACGTGGTGGAGATTTGCCTGGATTGCACTATTTTGGGATGAGCGTGGTTGGGAAGAGGCCATAAGTTTGCTCTGAAAGTAATTTCTTCTGCAAGGAGAGAGGATGACAGATTGGGAACAGACTGCTGTAATTTGTTTTTCCCCAGCCGAGTGTTTAGGGAAAAGGGCCTCGTGTGTGACCCAAAACTATTCAGAATTCAAATTTGGTGCCCGTTGTCTGCATCCTTTGTGGGCACAATCTGTCAAACTCTTTGCTGGCTGCCGAAAACCGAAAGCGATTCTTTCCAAGCACGAGCTTTGAGGGCGCTTTTCAGCAAGACTTTTGAGAAGGAAGGGATGGGCTGGCGAGAGTTCCAGCAGCTGAACTGTTTCCGGTTTAGGACCGGTACGCACACGAGGCGCAGATGGTCTTATTTTCTTTCCAGCGGCCTTGTGTGATCCACTGAAGCGGGGGACCTCTTTGTGGATCACGAGGAGCTTGCAGCTGGCTGTTCCACGCAATGGCCTCCCCAATCAACCATCAGGCGGTCCTTGTAGAAAGATTCACGTGGGGTCCTGCGTAGCTTGCCACACTGTCTCTTGGGTTTGGTGGAATCGGGCGATGATCAGAAACCCTAACTCTCGGCTGTTTTCCCTCCCTTGGCAGGGAATCGCTTCCCCTCCGAAGAATCAAGTCCTTACCGGTAAATGCTCCTCTCTTTCGGCCTTGGTCCAGTCTGTGGATGGGGCCCCTTGGTGGGTTGGAAACAGGATCAGCCTGGCCAGGGTTGGGCAGCCCTTTGGTGGCTAGGGCCACATCCATCTCTGGGTTAGTTCGTGGTCCAGTGGTACCCGGGGGGGTGAGGCCACAGCATGAGGGGTGGGACTGATCTTTTATCCCATAGCCACGAGTGTTGGGGAGGTGACATCATGCGCATGATGTCATCGTGCCTGTGACATCGTTGTGATGTCAACTACATCCCTGGGAATCTGGTGGAGGTGCTGGGTAGCGGGTGGTACGAAGGGAGGCCGGGCTGCTGAATTCTCAATGGCCATGTGGCTGAAATTTGGCAGTGGAGTCAGAGGGAGTTTGGGGGGCTGCGGAAAGGGGGCCCAGGTTGCCCACTCCGATCGGAGCCTTTAGCAGAGCGGCCTCACGTAGCTAGAGGCTCCTCCACCACCCAGAAAGATGGGGATCTTGCAGTGGCCCCATTTTATTTGTGGCAGTATCACAGACTGCTGATGATGCACATTTTCCTGCGTGGATAAGCTGATCCCTGGCCAACCCTTTGCAAGGAATCGTTTCTTGCACCTCCTGAAGATTGCCCTGTTCAAACTGCAAAGCAAAAGATTTTATTGGTCCACTGGTCTTTGCGAGGTTATATCCAAGAACACAACAACAACAACAACAACAACTCCTCCTCCTCCTCCTCCTCCTCTCACCGCCTGATCTCTTCCCAGGTGAGACTTCTGGGGGCCAGCCCTATCCTCAGGAACATTTCACACTGTAAACAGTGCAACGGTCCCGGCCAGAAGAACTTGGCTCCCCAAGGCAACATGGAAAACGTAAGTGGAGGGAAAGCCATGGGCCTGACCCCCTCCCCTCCCCTCCCCTCCCCTCCCCT